TCCAACCTCCTCATCCTCCTCCTCCTCCTCCTCCTCCTCCTCCTCCTGCTCTTCCTCCTCCTCCTCCTCCTCCTCCTCCTCCTCCTCCTGCTCCTTCTCGTGCCGATCAACAAAACCATTCATAAACATTGAGGCCCGCCCAAAACAGTCACCAAACGCCTCGGGCGACTGATTTTGGGCGGGCGCCATTTTCATGAGACAGCCTCCTCCCCCCTCCCCCTCCTCCTCCTCATCCTCCCTCCCTCCTCCTCCTCTTCCTCCTCTTCCTTCTCCTCCTCCTCCTCCTCCTCCTCCTCCTCCTCGCTCTCCTCCTCCTCCTCCTCCTGGATCTCCTCCTCCTCCTCGTCCTCGTCCCTCCTCCTCCTCATCCTCTTTCCTCTCCCCCCCTTCCTCCTCCTCCTCCTCTCTCCTCCTCCTCCTCCTCCTCCTCCTCCCCTCTCGTCCTCGTCCTCGCCTCGTCCTCGTCCTCGTCCTCGTCCTCGTTCTCCTCCTCCTCCTCCTCCTCCTCCTCCTCCTCCTCCTCCTCCTCCTCCTGCTCTCTCCCCCACTCGCCCGCCAGCCCGTTGGGGCCCCGCCCGCCGTCCGACCCGCCCGCCCGACCCGACCCGCTGCCGGCCCCCGCCCGTCAAGCAGGGCCCCACCCGTCGCCCGGCCCGCCCGCCCGTTGGGGCCCGCCCGCCCGGCCCGACTCGCCCGTTTGGGCGAGCGCACGCCACCTCGCGGTGGTGTTGTTGTTTACTGCCGCGCCCGCGGAGCCCCGCTGAATGCCCCGTCCCCTGCGATGTCCCGGCCACCTCCCCCCTCTTCCTCCCCGGGCCCAGCTTGCGAGATCGGCAGTCCGGTATTGGGGCTCGGGCTTCAAACTCGCCTTCGAGACCGAATCTTGAACTGCAAGTTCAACATCAAGCTTCAAAGTTCAGTAGTTCAGCATTTCAACTCGGGAGTCCAAAGTTGCACCTGATATCTCTCAATTCTGGGGCGTACAACTCCATGATCGAGTTGGCGACTGCGGAATTCAATTCTGGGGATCTGAACTTCAATACAGTCGAGGCTGATTAGAGAGGACACGCGAGAGGACACAATAATCTTGTCACAAGACCTTTCCGAGAGCCACGCTGGCACAGGAATGCAAAAGGCGTGGGTCGCGAAGCACAGGACACAAGGAGACCTTTTTTTGAATCGGCGATACGATAACCAGGGTTATTCGGGGAGGGGGGGGGAGGGGGGGGCCGGCCGATAACCTAACCTTCGCGCTGTGGGCAGCTCTGCATATGCCTGCGCGCACCGTTGAACACAGCGCTCCCTGCGAGTTATCTGCGCCCTCCCTGGACCTGCACAACCGGCTAGGTTAGGTTATCCTGGGGGGAGGTAGGGGGGCGAGCCTGATAACCTGGGTTATCGCCGGACCCTAAAAATAAGTTTCAAGGGCAGTCTTGATTTCGAAGGGTCGACCTGCTAATCAGCCTCGACTGTGTCTCAATCGGCTGGGGACCAACCCCAGGAGGAGGCGGAGGAGGGGGGGAGGCGGAGGAGGGGGAGAGGTGGAGGAGGATGAGGAGGAGAGGAGGAGGAGGAGAAGGAGGAGGAGGAGGAGGAGGAAGAAGAGCAGGAGGAGGACCCTTTCGCAGGGTCGACCTACAAATCAGCCTCGACTGTGTTCCAGTCGGCCGCGGACGAACAAAAACCTCTGCTGGGCAATAAAAACGCCTGTGGCCCGTGGGCCCGGCCCGCGGGGCAGCCGTGGGCACGGCTGCTTTCTCTTGCCCGCGCAGGCCTCGCCAGGGCCCGGGGCGGTGAAGGCCTCCTCGAGCTCGACGACGTTCCTTCGAGGGGAGGAAGATAGCGACAGGAGGAGGAGGAGGAGGAGGAGGAGGAGGAGGAGGAGGAGGAGGAGGATCGGGGGGAACGAAAGGGCGGGATAGCAAAGCGTAGGGTAGAGAATCAGCTCACGTAACGCAGCTGATTTTCCCGGCGCCAGGCCCGGCGCCGGGGCCGAAACCAGCTGCATGCAGCAGATTTCGTACCCTCCCCCCTTTCCCTATCCCCCCCCTTTCGTTTGGCCCGAGAGGAGGAGGAGGAGGAGGAGGAGGAGGAGGAGGAGGAGGAGGAGGAGGAGGAATCGTCGCCACGGCTGGATGTGCCTCGAAATTTGGGTCACACTTCAGCAAAGGAGCGGTCAGAGGAGAAGCGGTATGATCGGTGCATTTCTGATTCCCCAGTTCCTGCACCTGGACAGCTCCTGAAGCGCGCGCACCTCGTCCGCGCTCGTCAGCTTCAGCGCGGAGCCAGGGCCGCCGCACCCTCGCCTCCTCACGTGCAGGACCTGCCCGCGGGCACCGATGCCCAGCAGCCCGGCCTCCTCCCAGCCACGGGACAGGAACGCCTCCAGCGCGGTGTCCCCGGCTGCAGCCTTGGCTGCCGCCTGAGAGAGCAGCATCGGCCAGTGCGGGGGTGCATCAGGCACGCCCGTCGCCCTTGGACTTGACCCCAGGGCCCAAACTGCTACGGAGGCCCCAGATTCCCGATGCCGCGATGTGTTCACAACGTCGACCTCCAGAGATCTCGACCCTTTCCCTAGGGTTAAGTCGGGCGTGTCCCCCTACATGCAGATTTTGGGCGGCAGATGTTAAAAAATACCCCCAAGATGTTTCAGAGATGCACCAAAAATGCCCCAAAATGGGAAACATAGTCCCCTGACTATTTTGTTGACTATTTTTGAATATTCCCTCTGTAGAGGGACAGGCCCGACTCATTTCTATGGCTGGCGTTTCATCCCGAGCCGTTCTTTGACGGCCCAGGGAGCCCGTGAGGGCACCCAGAGGACGAGCACCGTCCAAAGCTGTGACTCTCGATGTTTGTCCGCGACGCGAGGGGATTTGGGGAGCGCGGAGGGTGCGCAATGACGACCAGCAGCGCAGGATAGAAATACGGGCAGGCCCTGGCCGGGCACTCAAGGTGCTCGACTTCTCCGTCTCCCAGGGTTGCATCGGCACCATTGGAAGGCGAGGGGGGTTCGACTTGCCAGGGCAGTAATCGCCAAGACGTCAAAGTGTCCAATATGTCAACGCTAAGCGCCTTCAGAAATCTCCCGGCAGAACCCAGGAACGTCCCAAAATAACACGTTGCTGCGGTTATCCGCTTCGCCTTGGATTCTATCTGGCCAGCCGGTTGGCCTCGGAAAACAGAAAGTGCGTCTACAGAAAACGGCACACGTGGGGCAACATAACAATACAGATGCCGCTACTCACCGGACATCTCCTGTGGCACTTTCCGAGGAGGATCTCGAAGCAAACCCAGCTGTGGCAGCAAGGGACGTGTATAGAGCAAGCAGAAGCTGTATACATCTCTTTTAACCCCCATCATTATCTGCGATCCTCGCCATTGCTTCACAAGATATTCCCCATACATGTATGGGCCTACTTCGGACCACGCAGCAAGCAGCCACCTCCACCTGGGGTGTGGGGCCGACCCGAAGAACAACTTTCAAGGCCCGCACCGAAGGAGGCCCCTCGAAGCCCAGAACACCTGAGGGATGCTGGGCCAACTTCACAGGGCCCCCACCCCAACCCCAAAGCATGGGGGCCCAGGAACCTCTGGGAGGCTGCAGTTGCCTTCCGCTCGGTTGCCGCCCATGGCGAACGACGGAAACAGGAGGAAAGGGTGGGGGGATGCGAGGCCGAAAGAAGCTTGGCATAAAGGGGCGACAGCAACACGTAGGACATGGACGAGATAGATCTACCACGAACTGGTAGTCACGGTCCCCCCATCATTTCTCTGCGATCGTCGCCATTGGTTCACAAGGGATTCCCCATACATCTGTAGGCCTCCTTCGGACCAAACAACAAACATCCCCTTCCACCTGGTGTGGGGGCCCGAACCGGTGGTAGCGTCTCAAGGCCCTCCCCGAAGGAAACACCTTAGAATTTTGGGCCACATCCGGCAGGGCCCCCACCCCAACCCCAAAGCCTTGGGGGCCCAAGAACCTCTGGGGGCTGCAGCTGCTTTCCACATTACATAATCACCGTGGTTACAGCCGGATAAATTCCAATTTACAATGGACCATCAATTTGCAATGGAGCTGGACCATCAATTTGCAATGGAAAACGAATCTGCAGTGGACACCAAGATGCAGTGGCACCGAACGCTTCTGAACGGCCGCGCTGGTGCAAAATGCCTGGCGCCTAGCACCAATCAGCGCGGGTGCGACATGCGTTCCTTTCCCAGTTTGCCCAGTAAGCTGGCAGGCCATCTTCACACTGCTGTGCCAAAACCCTTAAGTTGTCCCTCTGAGATTCACTGACGGTAAGAAGCGCAATGCCTGTCATGGCCGCATCTACATCCATGAGCGCCGCTTGCTGTGCACACCATATCCCTGGGGTCATCGTGCGCGCTCCAGCGTGCCATGACATGCAAATCTGCGGTGGCACCTCCCCTGCAGAGCGAGTAAGGGGAGAAGCGGAACTGGCTCAGTCCGAGAACGCACGGCAAGCGCGACAGGGTGGCGCGGACCTTGCTGCACGTCATAAGAAACAAGCGGGCACGCTCATCCTGTGACATCTGTTGCGATCTCCTTCCAAACAGACGATTCGCAACAAGTGGCTTGACAACAGCGCTTTCCACACGGCCTGTTCTCATTCCCAACTGTTGCGGCTTGTAGCAGCAAAGCTGCATGGTCTCCTGCCCACCCCGCGGACCTCCGATTAAACTTGATGAGCTCGGCGGTTCTGAACATGCAGTCGAAGCTGGCGCAGGCGAGGGCCGCGAAGCTCAGCATGTCCAGCTCGGGTGCTGCGGGCTGCGGTGCCCAAGACAATCAGGGATGAACGGCAGTGCACGTCGCCTACGCATTTGCCTTGTGTTTTTTCCATCTGGCAATCAGGCTGCAAGAGATCTGCAACGCATCTTTCAAGTTTGGGGAAAATACGGTAGCCCGGCGACGGAATAAATCACCTCACTTGGAGCTGCACCTCGTTCCCAAAGATGCCCCCCCATCCCCCATCCCCGGCAGACTGCTGGTCAAAACTCGAGCGACAGGCTAGGTGAAGGCCCGTCAGACCGCCAAAAAACCATAGGTTTCTTCACACCGGCGCGATAGCGTCTCATTGTGGCGGCCGAAACTCTGACGTCGAGGCTCGACGGCCTGCGAGGCGTCCTTCGCAGCCACCTCAGAAGCCCTCTTCGCGCTCGCTGCTGATCGGCTTCGCGTCGTTTTGTTCTGCGCAGTCTTTACCGAGCGCGAGACGGGAAGTCGCCCGGGTCGTCGTCTGCCACCACGCGCCCGACCACGAGGTAGAACTGGCACGCCAGGCACAGCGCGGACCACTGGCGCACGCCCTGCCGTAGACGACGGCTGGCAGTCCGTCTTTTGTCAGGATTGCTGCGGTAACCTGGCTGTCGACCAAATGGGGAAGGCGCGCGTGCATCCAACGGCCCGTCCTGGATCTCCACATGATTGAATTGAGCTCGGCCTTAAGCTCCAAAAGATTGATGCGACCGTTCTCGGTGCTCCGCCACAGGTAGGATAGCGCGACCCTCCAGCGCCAGCTCTTGATCTGCACTGCTGCTCTGGGCCATGGCTTTTGCTCGGCACGGTGCCCCCGCGTCCAATCCCGCGTCGCGTCCGCCTCTGTCGGGGGCGGCGAAGGAGTGCTTCGCGAGGCACCTACTGCCAGGGACATCGCCATCTGGCCCTTGTTTTTCGACAGCAGGGTCGTCGCACCAGGGCGGTCGGCGGCGCCCCGTACATGTGGCATGCTCAGGCGAAAGCCACGCCTGTAGGTGCACTTGAGCTACTAAGGCGTGCTGCATGATCCAGACGACCGAGTACACTGGAAAACGATGCCCCAGCGCGAAACATCTGTCTGTCTCCGATGATGGACGCGAACGGGCGTCGGAAGCGGCCCTGCGTCGCCCATCCATGTGCAACCAGGCTGGGCCCGCTCCAATAGAGAGGGCGCCCCGAGCTCGGCTCACTTTGCAGCAGAGCTCCCTATCCGAGATGACGCATTCGGTGATGGCAGGCGTTCGCCAGCAGATTCAATCGCACCTCGGGCGCCCGTTGTTGGACAACGCGCTCGAACACAAGGCCGCGGCCATACCTCTCGGCACGCCGTTGACCACATTCAACGCCGAGTCGCCTATCGGGGCAACATTCTCCACGAGCCACTCGGCCTTCTGCGTGAAGCGGCTGGCAAACGAGGAGTCCGATGACTCGCGGCACCTCGACAAACAAGCCGCTCATCCTTCCCTCAAGCCCAACGCGAAAGACGTGGGGCGCCGATCAATCTTGACGCGGGAAACGGGCACCGACCGCAACCAAGCCGCGCGCGGCGCCGAAGCCGTTGTAGAGGAGGTCGACCGCCGCGTCGTCGACCTTCCCGATGTCGCCCAGGTCGCAGTGGCCAGGCCATCTCCGTCTGATGACCCCCCTCGCGACCTTAGCCGTCTCCGCCGACGCGCGCCCGATAATATCGCGCGGTAGGCGGCTGAGCGCCACTGCCAGCCCCCCAGCGCTATCGAACAATCCCACCGCCAATGCACTGGGCCACCCTCGTGCGGGGGCTCTGCCCAGTTTCGGGTTCGCCGCGGCCTGCGGACTCGTCTGGCGCTCGCCCCCGCGCAGTATACCCTCAATCTCGGCGCTCACCCTGCCCAGTCGCGACAGACGCGATGAGCTTATGCGCGTAATCGGGGCCGCCAGTGCCAGCGCAGGCCGCCGCCCGCCTCCGACGCATCACTGACGGCCACGAGCCCGCCGATGTACGCTCGGACAAAAAGCGGGCGAGAGCGGCAGCAGAAAGCTCACGATGAGAAGCTCTGAGGTCGCCCCACTCGTCAGGGGTGCAATCCGGCAGGCTGCGGCGGGCCCCCTCACCTCTCTGCGGCAAGTCGTGATAGCTATCCTGAACTCCACACACCTGAGTAACCTGGGCGACCGCGAGGCGCAGCGTTGATCGCAGGGTAGCCTGTGGCGCAGATACGACGCCAGCATGACCATCCACAAAGGCGCCAATGCGTTCGACAACCTCCTGGCCCTCGTGACACTTATCAATGACCCACGGTATGCCGGCCCGCGTGTAGCTGGCCCGCTGCCTTGACCAGCGCGGGCCGCCCTGGCCATCGCGCGAAGGCGCGCTCTCCCCTGGGGCGACCTCGGGTGCGCCAAAGTCGTCGATGTAGAATGGGTGCCACCTCTCGCGGCATATAAAGAAAGATCGGTCCTTCCTTCGCTCTTCTGCCGGCAGCCGCGCGACGCCCAGTGGCAGGAGCAGCGCAGCCGCCAGGGCCCAGCCCGTGGGCCTGACCCCGGAGAAGGCGCGCGTCCAGGCCTTCCCTGGGGCTCCCACCATGTGACCTCGCACCATCTCGCCGAGGGCCGCGCGCCCCTGCCAAGCCTCTGGAAGCTCCCGCGAGATGAAAGTCCTCTCTGGTCGTCGCTCGACCAGCGGAGCACCTTTCCAGACTCGAGGGCGAGGCTTTTCCAGGAAGGCGACGGTGCAAGGGTTTCCGGGCCCCTCTAGAGAACCTCCAGGTACGCTTTGGTCGAAATCACATTCGCGATGGAACGCGCGACCCCCGCGCGGTTCTGCCCGGCTTTCCCTTCTCGCCGACCGCGAAGGCGCCCTGGACAAGGGGCGCCCCGTCAACTGCGAACACCTTGCCATCCCCATTGGGCGTCTGGATTCCGAGTGTCACCACATGGCCAGCCACGTCGTCCAAGTCGGACATCGACTCCACCTGAATCCGCGCTCTCGGCACCTCTCGCGGCCACTGATCCCACGGGCGGAAACGTGGATGAAAAGCGCGACCAGGCTCCTCCTGCCAGGCTCGGACGCCCTCCGAATTGCCGGTAGCGGCCTCGAGCTGGCGAGCTCGTCTCCAACTCGCCCAACTTCAGAGGCAGAGCTCGTGCCTGGGGGTCAACGGTGTAGCCGGCAGGCCCACGTCCATGGTTATTCTTGAAATCAGGCTCACCCGTCATCTTCTGTGGGGAGCTCACGAGGCGCTGCGCGCCCTCCACGATGAGCTGCATAGCCTCGCCTTGGGGCCCAGACCGCATTGTCTGGTGTCATCAAGCCTCCGCAGTACACTCTTCGCAGTACTCGAAATTCAATGCCATGGCAGTCAGGCAGGTTCAGACCTCAGCTGCGACAAACTCTGCAAGATAAAATGCCGCCCCTCTCGCGCGCACCTCGAGGCGCGCAGCAGCGGGGGGGCGCGTCGCGCGATGTATCTCCAGGACGGCGAGGTGACGGTCGCAGACCAGCAGACTCCCAGGGACAAGAGCCGAGCTTATCCGGCAAGCAGTGCAATTTTTCGATCGGGTGCAGGCCGGTGTCACTTATGTGAAACGGTCGACTGCAATGACATCGCCCCTGGGTCCCCAAGAATGCATGATCCGCTGCCCAAGCGACCGCGAACGGCGCCGTGGCTCAGGCAGATGACGCGCCCGAGGCTGCCTCTCCTCAGCTGGCGCGCCTCCGTCGGTGAAACGCTGCGAGGGCTCGCCTGCCCGCCCGCCCCCGGCCCCTGCCCTCGCTGCCCTTGGGCGGGGGTGGGGCGTCATCCTGGCGCGCGCCCTGTTGTGACATCCGGGCCTTCTGCGGCAGGCCGAAGATCCTCCGCTTGTACTTTTCGATCGTCTCGTCGTGCATGCGGGGGTGGCCCCTCTTGAGCGCCGGGTAGATGCCGACGCCGGCCTTCGCGGGGCCCCCGCGGGCCCGCGGCGAGGCCTGCTCTGCCCCGCTCTCTTCCAAATGGGCGGCCCGACGCGGGGCTGCCCCACCCAGGGCAGCAGGGGCCGCGGGGGTGGTTGGCGCGGCCTCTCCCGCCCCCCGGCCCGGCACCCAGCCCTGGTTGCCCTTGATGCGCGCCTCCGTGTCCACCAGCTTCAAGTCCCCCAGCTCCGCGGACCTAATCAGCTACTCCTCCTCCTCCTCAAGGACCATCGCGGGATCTCGCGGTCTGCGGGGGTCTATTCAAGCCACCGCGCGCCATGCCAGCGGCGATCTTTGAACCGCATCTGGCACGTCTGAATAAGCTGAACTAAAGAGATCAAGCCCGTGCAGCAAGCGCGGCGCATTGCGAAATAATCGATCGCGGTCACGAGTGTCCTCATCTGCTGGCGCATCCCCTCACCAACGGTCTTCATCGGGTGGTTTGGTGCGAAGCTGGCCGGGAAGTAAAGCGTGGCCACAGGCGGCGCGCGTCCCACCCCCCAGCGTGCCCAAGCGTTGCCAGGTACTCGCACCTGATCTAACATGATATCCGCGAGCTTCTCTGGGGCGTCTACGCCGTCGTTTTGTAGCGGGCCCTCTTGCTAACAAACTTTGGCCGCGCCGCCCCAGGAGTCGTCGAGCGCGTCGCCGAGAAGGTCGTCTACGTCGTCGCCATCGACCCTGAACGCCCCACAAAGGCGCTCAGCAGCCGCTTTGAGACATCCTCCCCCTTGGTCCCAGTGGCCACCTTCTCGCGGCTGCCTGGCGGCTGCCCTCCAGCGGCCCTTCTTGGCTTGACAGCCCTCTCGGCCACGATTGCGGCCAAATCGACCTTTTCCCCCTCGTCGCACCTGCCTTGCATCCTGCCGGCAGCTAGCGCACGCGCGGCCTCCTGCCTCCGCTTCGGCTCAGCAGCGCGAAGGGCGCCGAGTCCAGCTTTCCGATGCGGCCTGCAGCGCGCCGAACTCAAGGCCCAGGGGATATTATTGAGGCCGGTGGTCCTCGTCTCGCACACGGCCCCGCGCGGGCTGGTCGTCAACTCCTTCATCACCATAATCAGCGGCAGCGCTCCTCCTGGCTGGCCCAGGTCATGAAGGCGCGTGGCCGCTGCGGACTAGAGACGGATTGTTCTGCTTGACAAACTCGCCCAAAACGGCAAGGCCCTCGTTGCTTTGTCTGTACTGTCCCCTAGAATATGTTGGGCATTCGCTGTCGATGATCCGTATGCAGCAGACATGTATGATGCTGACTTTCGGATCGCTGAACACCGCTCCGCACTCCGTTGGCTCGCACCCCTGGCAGAACTGATAGACATGCTTGTGACCATCTGCGCCACCATGCCCCAGGTACATTTCCCACCAGTGCCAATACCCATCATCTGACATACTGAACGTTCCGTTCATGAACTGGTCCCCCTCGGTCCCACGGTATTTGCCCCTGAAACCGGGGAAGTAGCAGCACAGGACGCGGCCAGCATGCCAATCTCGACGGGGTACGAAGCGAGGTGCCCAGGCCCAAGCGAGGTGATCTCCTCCACCGCGCCTGGGGGGGTCGGTCAACGGCGCTTCCACCTCCATGCAAGGCCTCACCGTCGATCCCGTCGCCCTCGCACTCGGGCCCCTCGCCCTCCCCGAACACCCCGCCATCCGCTGCAAACGCCGGATCCGACGCTGACGCCTGCCAGCTGCACGCGGGCAACATGCATGTGCGTTTGGCGAAGCGCCTCCCTGCATGCCCGGCCTGCACCCTGCGAAATGGTTAAGAAATCATGGGTTAAGAAATTCATAGTCTCAGAACTTGAATAAAAACCCAACATTCCTATTAAAATCTTAGGATGTACATGGAAACATTAAGAATAATCGAGACTCTGGCCGAAAACTTGGGTTTTCTTAAGCATCGCCTAAGGTGTACATTCGGAGCCCCGTGCGGATGTATTGCGTCGGCGCTGGCCCCCCCTCCCAGGGCAGGAGGAGCGCATCCCCGGAGCGGCGCCAGCGCCGATCCGAGGAATCCGTGCGCAGCTCCGAGGGATGGATGCCTGCTCCTTCGGAGCTCAACGGTACAGCCTTCGCGCCACCATTGCGAAGGCTGAAGCAGGAAGGAAGGAGCTTTTCTGGCCACCAGAGGCTCGGCCAAGAATGGGCCCTTTGCGCCCAGAGTAATCATTATGCCGGCGTCTGGGCCTTATCGGGCTGTCAAATCCCCATTGACGCGTCCGCCGGACAAGGGCTTCCTTAGTGGGTTACAACAACTACATAACCATCACTTTAGGAGGTCCGCGCGGATGTCTTGGATCGGCGATGGACCCCCCTCCCTGGCGTGCGGAGCGCGCCAAAGGCGGCGACGGAGGCGCCCGAAGCCCAGCGCCGATTCAAACAATCCGCGAGGACCTCGGATAGCTTTTTTTGTGTGATGAAAGTGCGTGCTCTTCAAACTCCAACGTCTTGGCAGTATCGTGAGATGCTTCTCCTCGGACGCTTCCGCGGAGCTTATGTTGTTTCCATCGTACTTAAGGACCGCGTCCCAGAAATAATTTAGAGCACCCAGAAAAGTATCGAAACGGTGCCTGCCCGACACGCTGGCGAAGTGGCGAACGAGTAGCGCCTCCCAGGGCCCGACACGTGAGAACCCTCCAGCTTTCTGGCACCCCCTTGGCACCCGAAATTCTTTCTGGTGGCTAACGCTGGGCAACTGGTCGGCAGACCCCGCGCGCGGCCGTCGTAAGCTCGCGCGCGGCCCGGCGCAGACGGGGTGCCGCGGCGGTCCTCCTCCAGCAGGTCGCCGAGGAGGTCCGCCCGCTCGTCGAAGGAGGAGCTGTGCTGGGGCGGCGGCCCAGGCCGCAGCGAGGGGAGCCCGTGGGGCGACGAGGCCTTGGCTCCTGAAACGATCCTCCTTCGCCCCGCCTTCGCGACTCCTTCGCTCCTCCTTCGCTCCTTCCTCGCCCTCTCACCTCCTCCTCCTCCTCCTCCTCCTCCTCCTCCTCCTCCTCCTTATCCCCCTCCTCCTCCTCCTCCTCCTCGTCCTCCTCCTCCTCCTCCTTATCCTCCTCCTCCTCCTCCTCCTCCTCCTCCTCCTCCTCCTCATCCCCCTCCTCCTCCTGCTTCTCTCCCCCAGCAATCACAAGGGGGCGGCTTCTGCCCGTGCCCCGGCAAATGGGGACCCTCGCCGGATATCGCGAGGCCGTCAAAAGGAACGGCTCGGGAAGAGAAAAGCAGCCACTCGGGAACTGCGGGGGCCGCGCGACACATCAAGACATCGCGTCTGGAACCCTGTGGATGGCCTCAGGGGCAGAGGTCGCCCCTTCTCCTCCTCGCTCCTCCTCCGCCTCCTCCTCCTCCTCCTCCTCCGCCTCCTCCGCCTCCTCCTCCTGCTCCTTCTCGTCCTCCTCGCTCCTCCTCGTCCTCGCTCCTTCTCCTCCTCCCTCGGATGATCTCCTCGACCTTCCCGCTGGGCGGCCTCTGGCGGCATGCGGGGCAAGCGTCGGCGGCGCGCCGGCGGGGGGGGGGAGGTGGGAGGGTGCGGGCCTTCTCAGAAAGCGACGGGGCGTCGGAGTCGGCCCAGGAGGCCCTTCGGAAGGCCAGAGGCCTCCTCGGCCTTCTGGGAGGGGCAGCACCCTCCCCTGCCCCCTCTGGGGCGCGTCGCCGACGGTAGAAACCGGGGGACACGAGCACCTCCTCTCCTCCTCCTCCTTCTCCTCCCCCTCCTCCTCCTCCTTCTCCTCCTCCTCCTCCTCCTTCTCCTCCTCCTCCTCCTCCTCCTGCTGCTCCTGCTGCTCCTGCTCCCCCTTCCCCCCCGGGCGCGTCGCCGGCAGCAGTGGCCCCCGCGCGTCGTGAGGAAATCGCGACGGCCGGCGCGTGGCCAACACCCCCTCGGCCTGCGGGGCCCTCGCCAGTGCTCGCCAGGGCGGTCAGGGAACGACCCCGGGGGTGGTGAGAGGCTGGCCCCCGGGGAAGGGGTCGAGGTCTCTTTGGGGGGGGGGCAGAGGACCTGGGGGAGGGGGAGAGAGAGAGAGAGAGAGTCAGAAACAAAGACAGAGGCAGAAAGACATTGAGACAGATAGAGAAAGAGAGAGAGAGAGAGAGAAACAGAGAGAGAGAGAGAGAGATCTACCTACATACGCTTATACGTAGCTAGATAGAGAGAGAGTGAGAGAGAGAAGGAAGGAAGGAAGGAAGGAAGGAAGGAAGGAAGGAAGGAAGGAAGGAAGGAAGGAAGGAAGGAAGGAAGGATATATACCGAAAGCGAGAGAGATGGAGTGAGAAGAGAGAGAGAAAGAGAGGGAGACGAGATGGACTCACACAACGGATCGGCGTGCAACGTCCGAAGTCACAGAGTCGTCTTGTGGTGACGCCAAGACGCCGAGGAGGGGCCCGACCACACCCAGGCTGCAGGGGGCAGCTCGCACCATGCACCTAACTTGTCCAAACGCCGTGAGGAGGAGCAGAACGCCCCAACTGGACGGACGACTCTGGGGTCCTCCAGCCCCCTCGGTTCCGCTCCACCCTCGGCTCACCCTCTTCTCCATGCCCCTCCTTGCGTCCTCTCTTCCTTGCTCCTTTCCCTTCCTCGCGTCCTCCTTTCCCCCTGGATCCTCACTCTGGTGTTCCACTTCCACCAAAACAAGCGCCCGAATGTCTGGAGTCATGAAACGGTGCGGTGACAGACCGTGCAGTGACCTCGGCATCCCCCAAGACCTCACAGAACGGTCCGTCAACGCACGGTCTTGGGACCCCGGAGGCCCCTGTTTCCCTAGACATCCTCGGAGAACGACCCGAGTCCCAAAACCGTGCGGCGACCCCGGATTCCCACCGACTCACCGCACGGTGTGGTCACCACCCCGATTGGGGGCCCCCAACACATGACTCCACGATGTGAAACGGAGAACCACCGGGAGAGCCCAGGAACGGCGCACAAGAGAGGTCGCCGAGGGCTCACGCGCGCAAACGGAGGGCAGAGACACAAAAATGGGGAAAGGCATCGGAAGGCAGGCAGGGGCCAACTTCCGGCACACTAGCTTTAGGTCGGGCATGTCCCCCTACAGGCGGATATCGGACGAAAAAATTAAAACGCTCACACAAGTTCAAACGATAATTAAACATACTTTAAGAAATCGTCCCCTGACTATTTACTTGTTTGAATATTCCTCCTGTGGAGGGACACGCTTGACTTACCACTTGCCCAGTCCCTGCTCTCCAGTCCCACGTGTTTCTCTCGTTCTATGTTGCACCCCACGTCCTTCGGACCTTGCTCTGCCTCGCTCCTCCGCTGATCCCTCTTTCCGCTCCCGCTTCCTCCTCCGCTGGGGGCGTGGGGCTCCACCACATGGGCAGATGGCCAAAAAGAAATCAGGCCATCCTGGAGGCTGTTCCGGGGCTGAGCATCCGCAGCCTGCAATGTCAGGGGGGGGAGCGAGGGAGGAAGGAAACAGAAACAAAGGGCTCAAATAGACATGCAGCAGGACGAGGGGATGGTAGCAATGCGAGTACCATAATTTCACGAACGCACTTGCGGCTAAGAATGAGGTATGCCTGGGCGGCCCAAGATCGCCAGAACCATTTCTGTCGACATCACGCAGCCAGACCGCCAACATAAAAGGCAGCCAGACCGCCAACATAAAAGGCAGCCAGGCACTTCTCTCGACATTACTTCTCTCGTGGCCCAACATCGCCAGACCTCCAACCATAACAAGCAGCAGAAGCTGAAACGCTGCCGTCCCGTAGCCGCCGCAGCCGCGGGGGAAGAATCCGCCGACCCCTTGGGGTCACGGCGTGTGAGATGCTTCACCCTCCCCAAACCCGTCCCCCGGGGGCCCGGCCTGGTCGGTTCGGGAGGGGGGGGGGGGGGGGGGGGGCAAAAGTGCTGGCCGCACACTAACCTCATGCCCGTGAGAATAAACACTAGGGGATAATAAAGTTCGGGGTTCAGGGAGAGATAATAAAAGTAGCCCAGCAGACCTCAGCATAATCTCGAAGTAAGAGATGATCAAGAGGAGACCAAGCCGAGCACGTTTTGAGACATCCTTGGCGTTTAGTTTTCATAGAAATATCCTCAACACGGGTCAAAAAGGTTCAACAGGGTCCCGGAACGGTCCAAGAGAGCTACAAGTCGACGAAGGATCGTTCCACAACGCCGAGGATTGCCTCCAGACGGCCCCATCAGCCCCCAAGACTCTTGAAAAAGTACTACCAGGCGCCACGCGAAAGCCCTCCGAAAGCAAAAATCGTCCAATTCCCAGCGGGAAGCGGACATTTTCGGCACATTCGCCTTTCGGGCTCCCACGCGGATCACAACGGCCCAAGAAGCCTCCAATATCGATCCTCCACAGCCCAAGAGGCTCCCAAAAAAAACCCACGACGGCTTCCAGACGATCCACGAAGGCCCCAGAAACCGCAGCAACGGCTGGGGAGAGCCGCAGGACGGTCCCAAGGGAGCTCCAAAACGGGCCAACAGGGTCCCCAAAAGGCTGCCCAGACAACCCACGCGGGGGACGATTCGGTCCAAATCGCTAATGTTTGCCTCCGCACGGCCCCATAGGCTCCCAAGACGTTTGAAAACGCGCCCACGAGGCGCTCCACGAGGGCCTCCAGAAGCAAGAATCGTACCATTCCTTCTGGAATGCATGCGTTTACAATACATTCGCCTCTTGGGCTTCCACGCGGCCTGCAACGGCCCAGTACACCTCCAAACTCGACCCCCGATGCCCTAAGAGGCTCTCAAAAAAGCTCCTCGGCGGCTTCCGGGCACACCACGAAAGCCCCAGAAACCGCAGCAACGGCGCAGGACAGTCGCAGGACGGCCCCACAAGAGCCCCACAACGGGCCAAGAGGGTCCCCAAAGGCCTTCTGGACGGCCCACGAGGGGGACGATTCGGTTCAAACCGCCCAAACTTGCCTGCAGACGATTCCCCACAGGCCCCCGGAACGTTTGAAAAAAACTACTTTGAGGCGTTCCACGAAAGCCCCCACAAATCTATTGTCAGCACATTCGCCTCTTGGGCTTCCACAAGGCCTACAACGGCCCAAAGCTTTCAAGAAGCTTCCAAGACGGCCTCCGGGGGCACCACAAAGGCCCCAGAAACCACAGCAACGGCCCTGGAGAGCCGCAGGACGGTCCCAAGACGGCCCCAACACGGCCCAAAAGGGTTCTTAAAAGGCCTCCTGGTCGGCCCAAATCGTTCAACAGCACACCAAATCGTCCAACATGGCCTCCCGACAGCCCTACAGGCCCCCTAAGACGCCTCAGGACGCTACCCAGAGACGCCCCAAGAAGCCTTCCAGAAGCAACGACCGTCCCATTTTCGATGGAAAATACAAATTTCCAACACGTTTTCCTCTTTGCCTTTCACGCGGCCCTGAGACCCCACGCCCCAACACGCCACCAGGACGCAGCCCAAAAGGCCCTGCAGAAGCTAACATCGACCCGTTCTCGGAAGAAACGTCCAAGTTTAGCACATTCGCTTCTTGGCATTTCACGAGGCTCGCAGCAACCCAAGAAGCCCCAAAATCAATTCAAGGAAACCCATATGCCTCCAAGATGGCTCCCCAATGGCCCAGCGCCCCCCGAAGCCACCGAGAACGGCCCCGGGAAGGCCCCAAAGGGCTCCCCCGACGGCCCCAACCCCAAGGGGGGGTGGGGGGAAAGGTGCCGGCCGCACACTTGGAACCTTAAGGGGCCCCAAAGCAAGGTGCAAAGGGCTCCCGGAACGGTCGAACAGAGCTACGAGTCGACGAGGGACCGTTCCGCAACAACGAGGATGGCCTCCAGACGGCCCCAAAAGCCCCCAAGACGCCCCAAGAAGCCACCAAGACGCCTTCCAGAACCAAAAAGCCCCCGATTCCCTACGGACCAAACATTTTTTTTAAACACACTCGCCTCTTGGCCATTCACGAGGCCCACAACGGCCCAAGAAGCGCCCAAGAGCAACCCCTGATAACCCAACAGGCCCCCAAAAAGGCTCCAAGACGGCCAGCGAGGGCCCCGCGAAGGCCCCAGAAACAACCGCAACGGCCCAGGAGAGCCGCAGGACGGCCTCAAGAAGGCCACAAAATGGGCCAAGAGGGCCCCCAAAGGCCTCCTGGACGGCCCACGTACGAGTCGTCGAAGGATCGCTCCAAGACGCTCCAAATTGCCTCCTGGCGGTCCTACAGGCCCCCAAGACGTCCCAAGAAACCGCCCGGGGACGTCCCAAGAGGCTTTCCAAAAGCAAACAGCGACTCTTCTCCGATGGACAGCATACAGTTCCAGCACGTTCGCCTCTTCGGCTTTTACAAGGCTCTCAACAGCCCAAGAAGCGATCCATATCGACTCAACCATTCCATTCACCATTCACCCCGCTCGCACGAGGGCGGGCCCGTGAAGGGCGCGAGGAAAAACGCAAGCTCCAGTGCACAGCTCAGGCAAGCAAGAGGAAGGATGGGAGAGGAAACGCAAGACTGCGCGCAGGGAGCGGCGCGCCGGCTCACGTGCAGAAGTCCAGGAAGTCTTCGGACACGTCTGTCCACGCGACGCGGCATCAATTTCCAGGCTCTCTGCACCCACCGCTCCAGTGGTAAACGTGCAACGTATCCGGCAATATCCCAATATTTCTTCAGTCATTCCCTGGACCACGACCGGATGCCGTGTTCGGCCAGTATTTGATTGAGCCTGTCGTGCCATATTTGTAAAATCTCATGCCAGGGTTGAGACCAGTCCACACCCGCCGGCGGACCAACGACTTGCCGCAACAGTCGACGGAACTCAACGTCCATTTTCTGCAACGAGTCACTGTACGGCTTCCAGACACCAGCTCCGAAACAGGCCGCAGGCGATACCACGCGGCCCAAAAAATCAAGGCGAGCAGTAAGAAACACATTCGGGGGGTCGCATAATATGGCTTTGTTGGCAAAGAAGGCTTTGCTTGCCGACGCCAAATGGTAGTCCACGTACAGGTGGTGCGTACAAGAACCGCCGACGACCAACATGCACCCCAACCCCTTTGTGAGCTGCACTCCGGGGCAGGACTTGGATAACCGCGCTGGTCGTCGTGATGATGTGTTGCGGAAGTTTCGCCTGCGTCGTCATGACCACCGTTTTGGCCGCATTCAGAATCAACCCAACTTTGGCCACCTCGTCAACCAGGGCGTCTCGCAGCACTTTGGCTTCGTCTGGTGTTTTGGCGAAGAGTAAAATGTCGTCGGCAAAACGCAAGTCTATGAGTGGCCTCATGCCGTCGCCAAAATCGAATCCAAGATTTGCTGCGCGAGATCGCCACGATCGCATGGCCCATTCCAGAACTGCTCCGAAATGAACTGGGCTGAGCACGCACCCTTGGCGAATGCCAGCATTGATTGGGAATGCCTGGTTTTTGCCCCAATCGCCCAAGACTTGTCCCTTTTGGTCGCGGTGCAGCTGGTGCAATGTCCAGATCAAACGGTCGCTTACACCGAGGTGGTGCAAAGCTTTCCAAAAAGCTGGCCAGGAAGCTCAGTCGAATGCTTTTGATAAGTCCAAGCTCGAAAACTACCCAATACGACCCCAAACAGCTCCCAAAAGGACTCCAAGAAGACAGCCCAAACCGACCCAGGACGGCCCCAGGACGGCCCAACAAAAATCCTAAAATAGGTCCCACAAAGCCCCCCCGACGGCTCCAGAACGCGAGTTACGACTCGTGAGAAGATCGCTCCCGGACGCTTTCCATTGCCCCCAGCTGACCCCCGAGGCCCCCTGGGCGCCCCAACGCGCCACCAGGACGCGCCCCAAAAGGCCTGACAGAACCAAACCTCCGCCCTTTCCCGAAGGGAAACGTCTAAGTTTGACACATTCGCTTCTTGAGCTTTCATGAATCCCACAACAGCCCTCTAGGCCCCCCCAATCACCCCCAAAGCCCCCGCATGCCTCCAAGAAGGCTCCCAGACGGCACAAACTGGCCCCAACAGGGCCCCCGAAACCACCAGGGAGAGCCCCAGGACGGCCCCAAGAGGGTGATAATGGAAACCCGACAGGATAATTCGAACACTTCGCCCCGAGAAAACATGAAAGGGCGCCTGAACACACCCAAGAGGCCCTGACGGGGATCCACAATGAATGTCCCCGAATGACCACGGGGCCCGGAGGCGGTCCTTCGACGACGAAAACAACGAAAACTATGAAAATACTAAGACTTTGTTAATTCTTCTCTTTTCCCCGAACAGAATCGTTCACCATGGGCCCCCCAGACCCTTCCCGGAATCCAATCGCAATCGATGACCCAATTGCATCCAGCCGCGGCGACAGGGGAGGGGCCCGGAACCGCCCCAATCACAACAAACATCCCGACTCCGCCGGGCTACTTCGCACAAATTCGTTCCCCGAGCCTTTGCCCGGGCCCGCTGATGCAATTTCTCGCCCCTGGTCCGTCCAGTTTCGAAAATCCTGGGGCCCAGCAGCGACCCCCGAAGACCGAAACCAATCAAAAACAAAAGCTGTTCAAACAAGAATACCTGGAAAGGCGGCCGGAACTGCCGCAGGCATCTACTTCGATCGAGAAGAAGAAGAAGAAGATAGGACGAGGTGGAGGAAGAGGAGGAGGAAGAGGAAAGAAAGAGAGGAGACTTCGTCGTCGCCGCCGGTGTCTCACAGATTTTCGTGGTCTTTCGACCACCCGAGGCATCTCCTCGAATTCAGCCTCCAGGAACCGTTTTCGGTGCCCGGGACCACGACCGAGGGTCCGGGGTGAGGATCGACATCCCTGGCCGGCGCCTCCCATTCGCAAACGAAGGAACACGGGGTGGATCGAGGCTCGAGGCATGAGACTCCTAGCTCTTGGGCGCTCTCCGCCCCCCTGTGGGCCTTCAGGAAACTCCTCGTCGACACAGCTGGGTCCACTCTCGAACTTCTGGCCGAACGCACCCCCAGCTGGGTCTCAACGATCCCCGAGCCAATCCAGGGGGTGGAAAAGGAGGCCTGGGACAGGCCCCGTAAAGGCCCCAAGCAACCCACATAATTAAGACTACGAAAAACTTCAAAACAATCCCCTACAAGGCCCCCCCTTGAACCCCCCAGCCGCTACGTAAGACAGGCCGAAACCCCAAGATTGCCCAGCGATCGCGCGCGTTCCGCGAACTCCGTCTTTCACTCTTGCTGCCGCCCTCCAAGGGGTCGGCGGCGCGGCGTAAGCCAATGAATAATAGTTTGTTCTCCACCGGGAGTGCTGTTCTCCCCGCCCCTGAGGAGAGGACGGGGTCCTCCCTGTTTCATTCCGGGGCTGACGTCATCATGATGAACCAACTCTCTTAGGAAATCATTCATCATGACCCCAAGCGGGCGAAGACGTGAAGCCCCTGAATCGCGCCCCGCTGACACCGCCTTCAAAGAATGACCGTCCGCGCCAGATCATTCCCCCGGGTCCCATCAAGACCGCCCCCTGCCCCAACCCGTTCCGAGGAGGCCATGGCTGGGGGGAGGGGGCTCAACCGTACAGCCGAGGACAAGCGGCAATACTACTTCGTCGAATGGGTGGTGGCAGCGGCAGGAGTGGCGCTGGGACAGGCACAATAAGAGCTGGAATGCAAGATGCCGTCGGGGAGGAGAACAAGCAGGAACAGCATACGGCGACAGCAGCATCGGCGGCAGCGTGGATGGGGGCAAGGAAGAAGGAGGGGCTGGTTTCCAACGTGGGGGGCGCGGGAACTTAAGTCCTTGGGCAGCGGGGCCTCCGCTGCTTGAGGCCGGCGGCCAAGTGGGGGTGGTGCCGGGGGGCGTGTCTCGGGGTGGCATCTCGAGGCACCTCGCAACGGCGGCGCAGATGTGACGCCTGGGGCGGGTCTGTGCCGCCGTTCGTGTTGCGAGGTCCGACTGCATGTGAATTCATGCAGGCACCCTGGGCACCTCCCTTCGGGTTGTGTCGCACAGGTGTTCTGTCCGGGCACAAAACAAGAAGGAGGGGCTGGAGGGCGGTGGGCGGCTTCGGTCTTGCTCCGTTTCTCCCTGCCCTTCAGGCCGAAGATGTCCCCGCCGCTGCCGCTCTTCCTCTTCTTGAGGCCAAAGATGTCGCCGCTCATCTCCGCGCTCGCCAGGGCCGCCGCGCCCTCCTGGGCCCCGGAGGCTCGCGAGGCCGCGGCGCGGCCGTGGCTCGGGAGGGCTACACGGACACGCGCCGCAGAGCAGCGAGGCCCCCAACGCGTTTTCGCCCGGGCGGCCTGGGTATGACTAGCACCAAATCAACGCGCGCGCGCGCGCTTAGGCTCCAGTCTAAGAGAACTGCCGCATGCTCGTACTGCCTGCCCTTCATCTCAAAGTTCCATTCGTCTCATTCCTCGTCGCCATGCTCCTCTTCGGCATCCGTGTTCTCCTCTGCCTATTCTTCCGTGTCCTCATCCTCATGATCGGATTCGCCGTCCTCGGGCTTCTACTGCGTAGCCACATGCACCGCTAGGCGCAGTGCACCGCTTGTCTTTCAACGCACACAGGGCACCGTGTGAGCTTTTTCTCCGCTCTTGCTTGCTGGCGTTCTGACGAGTGCAGGCCATCGATCGCGTCACTGGTATGACGGACAAATGAATCCTGCATTCAGTATTGTCAGCGGCGCAGGCCCCGAATCACGGGCGCTCTCGGCAATTCCGCGTGACATTCCCCAGGGCCCTTGGAGCGTGGCCGCGGGTCTCAACCTCCAACATACTAATACGGTCCCAAGGGGCAGTCCTGGGCTGTCTTTGGGGTCTACTGGGCCGTCGCAATCGCCGCCGCCACCGTGGTTTTCCTCGTCCGTCGTCGTCGCGGTCGTGGTCGCGGTCGCGGTCGCCGTCGCCGTCGCCGTCGTCGTCGTCCTGGAGGAGCAGCGGGTCGCGGCACTACCGCCGGGTGGCACGCCGCGACATGGCTGCGCCCAGCGGTGAGCCCAGGCCGCAGGCAGGGTGAGGTTCGTACTTCTCGCCCTCCTCGTCCTCGTCCTCCCCATCACTCTCCCCGCCTCCTCTTCGGCCTCCTCCTCCTCCTCCTCCTCGTCCTCGCAGTCGCCCCCGTCGTCGTCCACGAGGGGGGGGGGAGCAGGGAAAGAGGGGGGAGGAAGCAGGGGGAGGGGCGGGGGGGGGCGAGAAGCAGCGGGGGGAGGAAGAGGGCCTCGGGCGCACGCGTGCGCGACCCGCTAAGCCTTTGCCCAGGGCAGCAGGTCTCAACGGATGCTGGCGACTGCTGCGCCCCGGAGGAAGCGGTTGCATGGTCTCCTGCGTGTGTCGCCGCAGCAGGAGCAGCCGCCACCGTGCCTCTGGGCACGGAGGGGGCGCATCCTCGGGTCTTCTGCCGAAGCCCTGGGGCCTCCGTCCTCAGTCCTGGGGGGTCTCCAAGGTTAGGTCGGGCGTGTCCCCCTACAGGCGGATCTTGGACGAATGAAAATACCTAAACAAATATACAAAAACATGTAAAACAACAAAATAATAACAAATATGGTCCCGACTATCTTGGACTATGTTTGGATCGCCCTCCTGTAGAAGGACGTGCCCGACGTGAGCGTATCCTGAGATATTTTGCCGAATCCCTGGGGCATCAGTCCTCAGTCCTGCGTAGTCTTTTGAGCAGCACAGACGCAACATGTCCCTCCCTCCTCCTCCCTCCCTCCCACTAAAAGAGAGAGAGAGAGAGAGAGAGAAAAAAAAAGAGAGAGAGAGAGAGGGTGACCACGAGCAATGTGGCCCCAGGAAGTTTACAGGCACGCCTTAGAAGCAGCGGGGGGTGTGGAGGCCCTTCCGGCGCTCTGGCAGGACACCATTTCTTCGGCCACGGCGCGGCGTGTCGCAGTCAGCAAGTATTGCGATACCACATGATCGTGGCTATGTGCTCCTGTGCGTTTCGTACTCAGCATTTTGCTTGCTTGCATGCTAGACACAAAATTCAAAAATTCGGGAGGCTCCCAGCGTGCCCGCCCCTGGGATCTGGCGCGTCTCCCAGGCGCGAGTGTCTTCGGACCCAAGACAGGGCCCGAAGACAGGCCGAGGGGTCAACGAGAGGCCACCAAGACGGTCCAAGAGGGCCCCGAGTTGCCGAAGAAGGAGGAGGAGGAGGAGGAGGAGGAGGAGGAGGAGGGGGGTGAGGAGGAGGAGGGGGGTGAGGAGGAGGAGGAGGAGGAGGAGGAGGAGGAGGAGGAGGAGGAGGAGGAGGAGAAGGAAGGGGAGGAGGGGGAGGAGGGGGAGGAGGAGGAGGAATGGCAGGAGGGGGAGGAGGAGGCGCCAAGATGGCCCAAGAGGCCTCTAAGACGCTCCGAGAGGCCTCCCAAGAGGCCTCCCAAGAGGGCGCCAAGAGGCAACAATCATTGATTTTCATTTTTTGGTTTTTGAAACATTTTGGCGTCCTCGCCGTTTCGGCTTTCCGACGCTCGAAGACGGCACAAGAGGCCCCCAGCGCCACCCCATAACGGCCCACGAGGCCTCCAAGAGGGCCCCAAGACGGCCTAAGAGCGCCCCAAGACGGCCCAAGAGGCGCCCAAGATGGCCGCCAGAGGGCCCCAAGACGGCCCCCAGATCGGCCCAAGCGAGGGAACACGAACCGAACATCCGAGCCCTCCGCCCCAAGGGGCCCCCGGGAGGCCCCAAGAGGTGCCCAGGAGGAGGCCCAAGAGGCCCCCCAGAGGCCCAGAGAGGCCCCCACGAGCCCCAGGCGAGGCCACAACAAGACCTTCTCGGAAAATGCCCTGCCCTCGGGAGTGCGCAAACATGGATTAGCGCATAGATTTGGCGAGCGGTCGCCAAATCCATGGATCGGGGGAGGTGCCCTCCCCAAAATGCAGCTGGTGCCGCCTCGCTCGGCGGCGGGAATCCGGGATTTCCCATGGAAGCGGGACCCGTCGCTAATCCACGCCCCAATCCATGTTTGCGATCGCCTGATGTCCTCAGATTGCCCCCGTTCGCCCCGCTGCCCCCCAGGCGCGCCGCCGACGGCGCCACCCGCAGCACAGCCGCACACGCGAGAGCAGACGGGCCGCAGCCCCTCGGGGAGGGCGCGTGCCCAACACATCCTCACCGTCATGTCGGGCCTGTCCCTCTACAGGGGGATTTTGTGCGGAAAAATAAGAATACTCAAACAATACCCCCCACATGCTCAAGAATAGTCCAAACATCGTCCCCATATGCTTATTTGCCTATTCTTTCGAATATTCCTCCTGTAGAAGGACACGCCCGACTTAACCTTACCGCATGTTGCATCCTCGGGGGGCCTTGTCTGTCCCGTCGCGGCCCTATCCGCGTCGAATCCATGCCGGCCTCTTCGGACCCGTGTCGACCCCGTGTCGAATCCGCGTCGAATCCGCGCCAAATCCGCGTCGAGTCTGCGTCGAACCCGCGCCGGGCACAAGAAAAGATACCGATTTTGGGAGGCAGGCGAGCTCCCACGAAGATGCAACGTAACTTACACAGTTCCCCGCAGTTGCCCACGTGGAAGTGGAACGGTCGGGGCCCGACGAGGACGACGGCAACGCTGCACCACAACGCCAAGAATATTGACCATGGTGTCCACCTCAGCACCGATCCCAAGTACTGTGTAAGACCGTTCGGCCCCATCACTAGCCCTCTGAACGGGAAGCCGTTCAGACGGGGATTTCGTGGTCATCTCTCGTTCGGTGGCACAGCGACAAACCAGAGCTATTCGTCGGTCGAACGGCACAGTCCCTGAGCTACAAGCACTGTTTGGCCCAATCGAACTGTTCAAACCTGTTTCTTCACAAAGACAAGATATTAGCCAGCATGGACCACACACAGCGATTCCTTGCAACCTGTGCGGTGCAGTCTATTCAGCGCATTCAACGTAGTAGAGTCTAGGTGCTCCAATCCATGTGATGCAATATATGTTGTGCGATGTGCGAGGTGTTTGCAATGCGATTGCAACGCGATTGCAGTGCAAATCAATGCGAAGCAAAAGACGGCGACGCAACGCAAGTCAAAGCAATGCGAAGTAATGCAACGCAGCACGAATCAATGCAAAGCAATGTACAACAATTCAAAGCAAGCCGATTGCAACACAATACAATGCGATGTGATGCAACATAATGCAAACCAAAACATGGCAACACAATGTCACGGAATGCAATGCAGTGCGATTGCAATGCAAACCAGGGCAAAGTAATGCAACGCAATGCAAAGCAATGGGAAACAGCGCGACGCAATGCAAACCAATGAGAAACCATGAAAAGCAACGAAATGCACCGCAATGCAACGCAGAGCAACGCAATTCAAAGCAACACAATTGCAAAACGATTGCAATATAACGCAATGCGAAGCAATACACAGCAAGTCAAAGCAACACAAAGCAATGGAACGCAATGCATAGCAATGCAAAGCAATGCAAAGCAACGCGACGCAAGTCAGTCCGATCCATGTGCTTGTGATATTAGCTGCGCTCCTCTACCGTTTTTAGGTCAGGTGGTTATATTGTTTAACGCTGCCGTCTGAGACGTCCTCAGTTCCTTCTCCTGGCGTGCAGTATCCCCTATATACATGTATATTGACATCATTGTTCTCGTTGCTCTTCTCTTGCCCGCGCTGCTAGATGGTCGCGGAAATCCGCGCGGAAGGGGAGGAGAGGGAGGAGGGGGAGGAGGGGGAGGAGGGAGAGGAAGGGGGAGGAGGGGGAGGAGGGGAAGGACGGGGGGGAGGGGGAGAAGGAGGAGGATGAGGAGTTTGCTGCCTACCACCTTCCCTTCCCCCGGTCGCCAGACGCGCCCTCCGGCTCTCTCAGTCCGACTGCCTGCTGTCCTCCGAGCCCCTCCTTGGGCGCCTGGCCTCCGGGCCCGATGGCCCGTCGCCCCTCCTGGTGCCATCGGGCCTGCGGGCCTGTTTCGGGCCAGAGTAGACTGGTGTTGCAGTTTTTGTCTTTTTTGTTTTTTGTACTTGTTGTTGGGTTTTAGCTGTGAGGGGGAGAACGGCGGCAGAAGCGAAAAAGCAAGAGCGGAGACAGCAGGGAAGACAAGGACCAGACTTCTTCGACCTCAGAAAAAGAAAAACGATCAAACATGACGATCCACAACGACGTCCCCAAAAAGACGAAACAACAGCGCAACAAAAACATAACAATGCGT